CTCGAACTAGGGAGTATTGTTGGTTTAAATGTGCCAAACCCACCCATGGATGTTTCTAGCGTTTTTAATCTTCCATATATATTTTAGTCTGGGTTTCTACATAACCTTTAATAGGCTTTAAAGCAATGGTAGTTTCTAATAATTATTATTATTGCTAAGCCCGCCATTGCTTGATTTTTCTCTTGTTTGTTTTCTCAGCCTTCTTCATTTATTCTATGTCCATTTCATTATTTAGCCCATTGTGAAGACTGTTCAGAATATTTATGCAGTAATTCACACACAATTGCATCTGTATGCAATGCAATGGGACCACAGTATTCATCATTCTCACGCCTGATGCTCCCTTGATGATCGTTTAAAAAAGGAGTTGTTCAATTCATATCTTCAGTCAACATATAACTGTCTTACATGCTTATATGTTACAGTTAAGATTCACAGCGTAAACCTTTGATATATTCATTTATTAAAATATTTTCCCGTCCATGAGATCCATTCCAAAATACACCTTAAAAAGCAGAATCCGCACGACGTTTGTGTAAGCAACTTGGTACAGATGTTTTATGACTTTCTGTTGTTGGCATTTCATTTTGGCTCCAGTATTTTATCACGTAAACTTGATAAACTATTGCAGCAAATAATCAATAATGCTAGCCACTAATTTTGTAACTACAGTTTCATGTGCTTCATTACATCCAGTGCCTAGTTTGTCAAGGCTTAGGAACGTCAAATGGGTTGCTTGTGTTCAGTATTAGACACTAGAAACAGTGCCTTAGTACTTATGGAAACACATATTTTCCTTATTCTGTTCTTTTATAATGACAGTTAAAAATCGTTTTTCTTTAGCACGTTGTTTATACTTGATAATTTCGCAGTATTCGTCATTTGTGATATATAAGAGCTTGTATGTACCTGCTACACCTTGGTGCAAATATAATCAGGTTTATTAGAAATAATGAGTAAATTATTTGAAAAGGAAGTTAGCCCATAATGGTTCTACTTATTTTCATGGGCTTTTTAATTGGTTTCCTGGTTGATGGTCACAATGCCTTGAGAGGCACTCCTCCCGGAAAATCTTATTACATTGCTCTTCATCAACTTTGTTTAAAATGGAGCATGTTTGATAGTCTCTTGTTATTTCGATCAGCAAAGTACAAAAAGGACATTAGCAAGCCCCAATTTCAAGGTTAACTGAGACCGATTTACTGGCTATCATTAGCAGTACTTGTTGGAATGTGCCAGACTGCAATAATAATTTTCACTGTGAAATTAAAGACTACCTGGCTATCATTTGCTAGTTCGGTTCTCTTGGGAGGACACTCGACCTCACTGCCATGTTTTATTGGAAACTTACACCTTATAACCTTCGATGAATAGCCATCACTTATCTGCTTTATGAGCGCCTATCTAGAACATGTATCTGAAACTAAAAGAATTATTTCCATTCAACGGGTTTTCTGAATTATCTAAGGAAAACTTTATTATGTTTCTTAACACCTCCCACATGGAACATTCAAAGACTCTTCACTCCGATATCAGTTACTTGGCATCTATGACGCCAAAGGAATATGTATCATCTTTCGGGCATTTTTGTGAATTTATGATAATTTCCAACTTTCTACCTGTGGTCCCAGAAGACTGGATTGGCCTTGACCCTCATTCATACTGACCTCACACATAAGCAATTCTTACATGACCTGCCATAGTGTAAGGGAATACTCGAGCAAACCAGTAGACTTCACCACTCTGTGCTATGATTATAATCCTCTAATATAGGAATTCCTTCAGTATGAATTGTATAGAATTATCTGTGGAGAAGTAACATGATTTTTTTATACTTTGATGAATACTTAAACAAACATAGAACAGCCTTAATCTCATCAACCAATACTGATTCTCAGTCATTTTATCATATACATGTGTTATTATTCTATTCCTAAGATAATCAATGAATGGTTACAAAATGTGGTGGCTGATGGTTGAAGAACCTGGCTAAGTGAGCTTCTTAAAGTTGGAGATTTAAACAAAAAGAAGAAATCCTTCAGTTCATATATAATGATTGATTTTTAATCCAGAATGATTTAACGTATATTTTGCTAAAATAAACTTTGAAAAAGTATGGGTATGTGGAAGAATCATCCAGGTGTAAGTTGTACTTTAAAGTGAAACTTAGATTAATCATTATGCAAATTAAGACGAAAGATATTAATATAATCAAGTAAGAGACATTGCACTGAGTTCTAATCAAGATAATGCTAACTCTAAGTTAACAATATAACATTACTTCCTTTTTCAATTGTGCAAACGATTTTGATAAACGTTTCGATATATTTGAACCCAGAATAAACACCAACGAACTGGATATCTAATCTCGTGTACAACCTGTCAGAAAAATGCCCTTTTCAATTCATTCCCTTCACTTTGTAGGTAGGTAAATCATAAAAATATGCACAAGACCGTCAACTGTCATAAGCACATGTAACTCGAAACACCGACCCACTGAGATTTGAACTGCTGTACAATAGAAATCTATAAAGAAATGAAGTGAAATAAATCAATGTATGTGAGTAGGGTAGAAGTGAAAACACCTAACCATGTGGTTGTATATAGATCAAAGCGAATAATTCCTAACAAAGTAAATCAAGTTTTATATTTCGAACAGTCAAAATCAAGAGAGAGCGCAAGCTTTGGTCTGGAATAGGACGATATACATGCACAGATTGATTTGGTACTAGGCAGCCAAATAAATCAATATCTTTTGGTTTCTAGAGAAAGCTTGTAGTGAATGATTAAAATACAGCACAGAAGTTATATGAGCAGACAGAGTGTACTTAGCGTGTGATCTATAGTGCTAATATGTTTTTGTTGCTTTAGAAACATGTTTAGGTTTTCTAAACTGTACTGAATATAATATGAGTATAGTTTGTTTGGAACTGTCAACACATTAGAGGCTGGAATTGGCTATACGTGTGAAATTTAAAAACAAAAGTGCAATCAGTTGTTGATTTTTTTCGAAAAAAAAAAACGAATTTTTGAAGAGGTTAAAAATCTGAATAATTAAAAATAGCTACTAAGGACTGGTCTATGATTATTCACGATATTTTTAAAGAAATTATTTCCTAAGCTTTGAACGTGCGATTCCCCAACACACAATTTTTTTTCTCTTAGCAATAATTATTATTAATTTATAATTAATTACCTGCAGAGCTCCATTACTACCTACCGTAAGGTAAACTGTTACAGATAGCTTAAGTTTACGGTAGGTAGTAATGGAGCTCTGCACGGTAAACTGTTACAGATAGCTTAAGTCAGTATAGGAAGATATTTGCACTAATTAATTTGGTAAAAATACACTTTGTATTATGGTGAACTCGAAGTTCTTAATGTTATAACAGAATATAATAGTTGACATATTACCATAAGTATGTTGTATATACTTTGGGGATAGTATGAATGGGCATACGAAACGTTATTATTCACATTTAGTTATAACGCACATCATAGCAGATTTATTAATAAATGAGATCATCCTTTTACGTAAAATTCATATTTTGTGAACCCTGTAAAATTCTCAGTTTTTACACATGGTCCACATAAGTATACTTAAAATGACTTTTGTTAAAGAAAGGAAATGACCACTCAGTAAAACGTATTTCATTTTACTGGGGTAAACACATTTACTTTTAGCCATAAATCTCTTCATTTTACTCCCTTACCTTCTGTAAAAACAATGTTAACGTCGAAAGAGTTACGTCTGCCACTGTAAAAGTAGTTCTAATACTCGGATCTTTCTATTTTTATTAACATAACTTATTTTCAAAGGCTCTGCGAAAAATTCATTTTTGCTTTAGGTATTGATATAATTTTAAACATGTAATGATGTTCTTCTCTTTGCATGTTTGGCATGTTCGAGTGAGATTTTTCCTTTTGCAATTCCTATATATTTTAACAGTGATTTTCTGTTGCATGATAAAGACTTTGTAACCCATTTAAACCACTAAAGTCTATAACCATATACCGTTGAAAATGAATTTTATGAAATTATAAAAAACAACAACAGTAAAAGCTATGTTAATTGGTTTGAATTTCGCGCAAAGCTAACCGTCCCTAATTTAGCAGTGTAAGACCCTGCGCCAACTTTTGGGCTACTCTTTTACAAACGAATAGTGGGATTGACCGTCACATTATAACGCCCCCATGGCTGAAAGGGCGAGCATGTTTGGTGAGACGGGGATTCGAGTCGAGCACCCTAACCATCAGGCCATGTCGGGCCAGCTATGTTGATATAGAAACGACAGGTAATACAGTACATTTAATACAAGAAAAGAAAATTTCGAAATTTCAATACTTCACAAAATACTTGGCGATGTTTAGAAAATATTTATAACAGATAAGAATGCTATATAAGAAATCACAATTTTAATTACAAAAAATAACTACTTTAAATAGATTGTATTACAAAACAAAGAGGAAATTAATATCAGAATTTTGGAGGAAAAAAAAAGCAATGTACCTAAGTTATTAAGATGAAATAACATGATGTAATGTTACTTTTTACTGCATCGAAATCCAATCAACTCTATAATTATCTTCAAAAACCGTTATTATTGTTAATATTAGATAAAGGATCATTACGAAGCGATATACATTTAGAGCATATAATAAAATCGAGAGCACCAAAACATTTCATTTAGACCTTGTGACACCACGTGCGTCCCATGCACGCCTATATTAACCTTTTCTCAGCTATTGATTACAACTCGAAGTTTGGTGGAAAACGCGATGAAACTTTGTTTCTGATTGGTTGGTCGCGATCGTTTACTACTGGGTCAAAAGACCCCGGATGCATCAATAAAACGGTGGGCCCTAACAGATGAGTCGGCCACTAAGCAGATCGTGGGAAGGACTTGAGAAAACAAGCATCTTTAGATTTACAACGTCAGAGAGTTAAACCACAAGCAGTAAGAACTTGTGGCGTTGTACTAAATAGTCAAAATGTTCACTTCTCCTTTGTACAGCAACGTTTTACAGTGAATACACTTTAACTGCTGTTCAAGGAAATTTTAAAACATTTTGTTAAACTTAAAACGGTTACAAGTGAACAAGTATAACAAAAACTGGGAAAGATCTTCTGAATATAAACGCATTCAAAAATTCAGAAGATTTAGTTAACTGTGAATCCCAGTAATAGCCAGCAGTTCGAAGATAAATAAAGTGAAGCTTCAAGACAGAGATCTTGCTCCTTATGACGGATAAATAGAGGAGTTCGTAGCCTAGCCGATAAGCGCAGCGAGAGAAAGGACGGTTCCGGCATTTAGCGTCGACAGAAACAATCGGCCACGGTGCCGTTTCTTGTGGCTCGCCTGATATTTACCACTGTCATTGCCCGGCTAAATAAACTTATAAATCATGTATTCTAAACTCTCGATATTGTGAAGGTCTCTACATCTCTTAAGTACACGTTACTGAAAGAAATGGAAACCTTTCCCGATTCGTCGTCCATTAGCTTTGTTTCCATGGTAATAGGTAAGCAGTTTAATTTATTATTAAATAAGATAACAGGTTCAAATATATTTTAACAAATGTCTATAATGTGTACAAATCTCTTCATTCTGCATATTTGTAATATTACAAACTAGAGAATTATAAGTATGCTTATAATATCTTCATGCTCATTCGATAACCTGTCTTTAAGTATGGTATGCTTATTCCATGGCAGCAAAGTCATGATAACAATACAGAAGGATCAGACTCACCCTTTTAAGTGAAGAATATCTAAGTAACGTAAAAAACAAATGTACATATATGTATGGATGTATGTATATATATTATTTTAATGAGTTTGGATGCCAGATAAGTATGGTTTCTCTGTATTATGTGCTTTGGCCTTAAGGGGTATAGACACCTACAATCGTTGTACAACAGTTACAAAAAGTCGTGCAACGATAGACACCTACAATCGTTGTACAACATTACCAAAAGTATAGCTCAAGGGTCACTTTCATTGTTTTTAGTTTATTCCGGAAATTCGCGCAAAGCTACACAAGGGCTACCTGCAATAGCCATTGTTAATTTTGAACTGATAGACCAACGGCCATCTTTAATTTTGAACTGATAGTCCAATGGCCATCGTTTATTTTAAACTGATAGACTGGTGGCCATCGTTAATTTGGAGCTGATAGACCAGTCAACAGCATCTACCAACAACTCTTAGGTTACATGAACCGATTAAGTGGGATTTGACCCTTACTCTTATAACGCACCCACGGCCCTAAAGTGGAAAATGTGATTCTGCGGCAACGGGACGCGGCCCTGGACCTTTCGACTCACACTCTGACATGCCAAAAATTAGGCCACGCGCGGCCCCATTTTCAGCGTCACACTTTAATCTATTTGAACTAATTTAAACGACTGACGACAGAAGATTGTATATCTTACGTAATAGCAACGAGTTTCTTTTTTAAACGTATTTAGACCGTCATTGTATTGGTTTCCTAGACAAAACAGTTTTCTGTAAAACAAATATATAATAAATTGACTTAAATTCAAATATCTTAATAACTTTTCTGTTTGGTATTGTTTTAATTATTTTATTAACATGGTATTACAAAACTTTTCATCTCGAAAAGAGTGGATTCCTCATATAACATGATATTGAGACTAACTTAGCTTTTAAGTTTCCCTAAGCCAGTTTTATTTTTTAAATTATATTCTACGTGGCAAAACTTCCAAAAATCTTTATCTTGAGTAAAGTAAAGTAGAATATTGACGCTGTTATGTACTAGATTTTATAAATAATACGAAAGTGTGTACAAAAATTAAATATGCATCGCTTTATAGCAAAGCTAACGATTGAACAAACAACACCAAAGTTATCAAACTTACCGAAGTAACATTATGATGTGAAACAAAGCCAAAGCTCATCTCAAATATATGTTGCATGTAAATTTGTTTAAGATCTGTATATCAGTAATTGGTCAATTATATATGTATCTAATATGGATATTTCTGATGATTAATAGCTTTACAGGACAGTAAGCGTTACTTCATGATAATAGCTATTTGTAATGTTTACTAGTTTAATGCCCCACGGTGAGTCAGCAGTAAGTTTATAGACTTACAACACTAAAATCCGATGTTCGATTCCTCGTGGTGGACAGAGCGCTTATAGGTTATTGAGTAGCTTTGCGCTAAATACGAACCCAACTACTAGTTTAATACGATGCAGTTATTATCTTGGACAGTGTTCTCAAACGTTTTTAATCACTATGCTATCTCTTTCTTTCCCTAATAATTCAACTTCTCGCGATCCACGTGAAGGGAGCCCCTGGACCACTGATTGAGGCTGTAGTTTTATAGCAGCCACGTCACTGGTACAAGGCCACCGGATCTGTGCTATAGCATTTATGGAACAAGAAGAAAAAAATGTATCAAAAGATAGTTCTAAATGATTAATTAGTACGAATAAGAGCAAATATAAAGTTTGTTTGTTTGTAATTAAGCACAAAGTTACACAAAGGGCTATCTGTGCTCTGACCACCACAGGTATCGAAACCCAGTTTCTAGTGTTGTAAATCCGCAGACATACCACTGTGCCACTATGGGGGGGGGGAGCAGCTTGTTCTGAAAAACCAGATAGGCTTACTACCACACTTATCGTTTGGCCAGGGGTTGGCTTAGTGTTTAAATTGCTGGACTATGCGCTTCTTATGGGTGCGTTATAAGACTAACGGTTAAATCCCATTATTCAATAGAGAGTCCAAGAGTTGGCGGTGAGACCTATTGACCTAACTACATTCTCTCTATTATGTCGGTTGAAAATTAGGAACAACTAGTGTAAATATCTTTCATGTAGCTTTATGGGAATTTCCGAAACGAACAAGCGAAACAATTTGAATGTAGGCTAAATGCTCAAACTCTTGTTGGAATCAACCCATATGAAATAAATTAATATCAATCAATAAGAATCAAATAACAAACTATAAACTAAAGTAAACCAATGTGTAGAAGCTGAATTCAAACATAGCTTTCCTCCAAATTATCAAAATGTGAAGTCTTCCAGATACTACACAGCATTTCTGATATCTTCCGTTTAATAACGTCTGTTCACGTGTATCCATGAAATAATGAGAACGAACATTGCTTATTTTAAAGTCACCCAATGAATCAGAGTCAATAAAAATAATGCCCCCTGGTGGGACAGCAGTAAAGGAAGATATAAATATTCGGTATTTAACGAGTATAACTGGTCCAATTTTACAAAGTAGACGAAGATTTTTGGCTATTTATGTAATGCACTTTATTTGGATTATATAATATTATGTTACAACGCTGTGGTTATTGTTCATGTTTTGTGTAACTGGGTTCAGGGTAATTCACTGTATAAAATCAATTGTATATTAATTTTGAATTTTACTCTGCTTTCTCATTATAGGATTTGTGAATTAATATACTATTCAAATTTTGAGGATAGTATAACACTTTAAATATAATTTCTGCAAAATCTTTAAGATGAGAAGAACTAGTCTTCTGAAATTTTAATCATAGTCTCGTGAAAATAAAAACAAAAGTAAAGCTTTAAACTGTTTTATTTTCTACTCATTACTCTGGGTTGCTCCCCAATGGCACAGCGGTATGCCTGCGGACTTACAACGCTAGAAATCGGGTTTCGATACTCGTGGTGGGCAGAGCACAGACAGCCCATTGTGAAGCTGTGTGCTTAACTACAAACAAATAATACTCTGGGTTATATAGATTTTAGTAATTTTGTTTACTATCACCGGAAGATGGCTAAGAAAACTTATGGATTGTTATATTATTAAA